GATAATCTGAGGACAGTCACTCCAGGCTTTGGCCTTTCGTTTGGCCAGGGCCAACCAGGCCGGCTCTGTGGACACCTGTGAAGAGTCACTGGAGGGGAAGCGCTTTGATACGTCCTTTACAGCAGGTGGTGACGGTGTGGAGTCTGAGATCTCAACTGAAGGTACAAAAACACAAAGTCAGGTTACATATCCTGCATACTGCGCCTCATCGTCTCATCACCTCAACATCCTCCAACTGAGATTCTTATATCTTTAATCAAAACTGATTTACATCTGTAGATTCCTACCAGTGACAGAGCTGGGTAAAGTGCTGGCCTTTTTCAGGTGCTCTCGGCGCTCGAATTGTCCCACGAGGCTGTCGGGTCTCTTAGGCTCCTCTGGAGTGTGTGGTTTGGAGAAAGGGCTGGTGCTCCCACTTCCTTTACTCTCTGTGGGACTCACCAGTGCAACCTGCAGGAGAAATCTGTGATTATTTTAGAGGAAAGGAAAGTGTGTCAGGGAGATCCTGGGACAGTGGGTAAGTAGAGATCTGGGACACGTACACTGTCTCGCTCTCTGGCTTGTTTTTCTGCCAGTTTGACCTCTCTTTGGCTTCGACGGTCCTCGCGGTTTTGCTGCTGCTCCCTAAAGCCTTTCTGCTTCTGCAGAGCCAGTGTGATCCATAAGGGTCCGGTCTCCTTCTCCTGGACCCTGTTACTGTCCAGTGAGTGTCTGGTCTGTAGGGACGGTTTCTCTGCAGGGTACCACACAATAAATGTTAGAATAGCGTTTTGAATTTGATACAATAGAAACATGAACTTACTGTATTTAGCGCCAGTGGTGGGCAGCACTATTTCAAAAATTAACTCCGCAATTTCTAAAGGGCTTATGAAAATATTTAGGTCCGCAACTTCAAAAGCGCTTATGCCATAGAAACATTAACGGAAGCTAATTTTAAAGCGCAAGTTCAATTTGACACTTAGTAGCTGTCAACAATTCATGTACAATATATGCACAACACTGCCAACGAGCAGTGTATGAACCCTTGTACGGTTTAATTTACAACCACCGGTTGCTGGGGATGTGATTTCCTGAAACAGACTTTTGGCTCCTGGTGTAAAAATTAAAAWGTTGTTGAGGATTGCTAGTTCGGCTGCTTCTTTGTCTTTTTCTTTTGTTTGTTGTAGATTTTTCATTAAAGAAGCATCAATAAAGTAATTTTAAAACTGTTTATTGGAAAACTGAAGTGATGCATTCTGGATACATGATGGATTTGATTTGTGACAGGAAATGAAAGCATGGAGAACAGGAAACTAGTAACTTCCCTTCAAAATAAGAGCTTGGATTTAAAAGTTTTTCATGTTTCCATTGGATTTTAAAGATTTCCAGTTCACCTGAAACTCATCAGACTGAAGAAGTCTCTTGGAGGAGAGACAAAACGTTTCACTAAAGAAGAACCATCCAGAGGAACTACTGATTTTTTCTTTTTGATTTTTTTCTACCTGGATTACTGAGATGCATCAGGATGTTTTTCATGTAGTTGCTCCAGTTGACCACTAGACGTCAGTCTTCACCAGCATAACATCTTTAAATCTTTTCTGAGTCTCTAACACCGTTGGCCGATTTGCTTCGACCAATTACGTCAAGTATTGAGCTCCAGCATTTAAACTTTATTTTTTTTAAAAAAGGAGCTCCGATTGTAAAGTAAAACAAATCAATACATACAAAAATTTAGTATGGATTACAAATGTTAACTGTTTTTGCTATTGCTTTCCAGCTACATAAGCAGACACAAAGCATTGTGGGAAATCAGAACCATGGCTGAAAGCAACAGTCCGCAAGGATATATACCTTCCCAATAACTTTATCTGGGAGGGGTGCTGTTGGACAGATCATGTGTGTTATGGTTCATTAGCTGCGTTTCCATTGCAAATGTGCGCAAAACTTTGTCGATATTCTGTTAATGTCAAAAACACAGTTTCACAACTGCGGTGTTTCCATTAAATAAGAAATGTTATTAAAGTCACGTGAATACGTTTGTTTTCATGATAAGTCATTACAAACATGGCAGCGATGGATGTAAACACATAGCATGTTGCTACCACGACACTAGCGCTCATCATCAGAGGAGACGTCGGCGTCTTTTATCGAGGCTTTCCAGAGACAAGTCCCTACTTGGGAGCGGCTACGTATGCTGTGTTTTTGGGAAAATGTAGTCGGTGAGTTTGCTACTTCCTTTTACTACTTCTGTGATATTACTACTACTTCTACTTCCTGTTATCTTCTTCATCATCGTCTTTTTCACCAGTAGAAACAGCTGGTTGTTGATCACGTGACTCCTGTGATGCGAAAAAAGTGTTTCCATTGCAGTTTTGCGAAAAACACCAATTTCGATACGGCCGAAAAACCACCTCATCCTAGTGCAAAAACCTTTCGTCGAAAAACTTATTTTTTTTCCGAAATAGACGCGTTTCCATTGAGCAAATTTATTTTCCAAATTCTAATTTGTGCATTTTCATGGTCARTGGAAATGCAGATATTGACAGCCATACCTTCCTCTTTTTAAGATACTAATGACAGGTAGATAATTAGTTTTTAGTAGTACTACATTTTAATTTTAGAAAGCGCAAATCCGCTTATGAATTATAAAAATTAGTAAGACCATTAAAGCGCAAACAAAATATTTAGGTCTGCAATTAGCGGATTTGCACTTTAGCGGGCTGGTGCCCACCACTGTTTAGCGCTAAACCTTAAAATCAGTAAATTTAAGTCCAAGTAACACTGACCTCTCCTGATGAGCTCCGTCTTTCTGTCGGCCTTCTCTCTCCAGGGAATGTTTATGGAGGGGAAGAAGGATCTCTTCTCCTTTGGTTCCTCCTCTCCTTGGACTGGGCCTTGGCTGCTTTGGTGCAGCTGGGCCACCACTGATGGTTCCTTGTTCCTGCTGGCCTGCTCCTGGACAGAGGACTCTGCGCTTCCTGTTTTCTGAATGACATCATCACAAGGCAGTCCATGGATTGCCTTAGGTAGTGGAGATAGAGGAGGTGATGGGACGGCACCAGACGGTTTGGGTGATGTTAGTTGTCTTCGGTAGAAGGGTGGTTTTGAAAGCACTTTGTCACCTTCGCTGTGAGATGTTGGGCTAGTAGATTTAGACAGCTTACCCCGGGTTACAGCGGGGGAGGCAGATGTGTGCAGGTACTTGCTAACCACTSCCTCTTTGTGAGGCGAGGTGGGATTGGATTTATCTGAAAAGACTGAGCAAGTGTCGGAGTCTGGTTCGATTGGGGTGAGAGGTGATGGGATACCGTCAAAACTGTCCCCGGCACTGTAGCGCTTCTTTCTTTTCTCTGCGGACTGTTCATTGTGAAAACGTAGAGAATAGTTAGTCCTCCTTAGCTTTATACCAAAAGGAGAGGGCTTCTCCTCCCCATCCTGTCCCCGTTCCTCTGCCTCCTCTCTGCTTTCAGATGACTCAGATTTGCTCTGACACCTGTCTGGTCCGTCTCCGGGGCTTGGGACCAGGAAGGATGGTAGGTCTTTGGCAAACATGCACTCCTCTGAGCCTCTTTCTACGATACGGACAGATTTACTCATCCTGCTCTGAGSTTTGATTGTAGGAGACGGAGAAGACGTGGTGGGGCTACCAGATCGAGCTGCTTCTTCTTCTACATCTTTATTATCTGGACCAAAAACCTCAGAGTTCCTATTTGAATCTCCAAACTTCTTCTTTGCAGGGGTGATGGAGAACTTGGCACTGGCGGACATGGTCTTTCTGAGGTTTGCATGAGCAAACGAAGGCTGTTTCTCACTGTCGACTTGAGGCTGAGACCTGCTTGGGGGATCYGAGTACTCTTCATACTTCCCATCCTCTACGCCTTTGAATATCTTTGATCTGATGCTTGCCCATTCTGCTAGCACGGCAGCACCAGACTGATCTGTGGAGAGCACAGACTCAGTGAGGGATTTGGTTTTTCCAGACTTGCGGTCTGGAGAGGTTTTGCTCTTCGTAGACAGTGATCCCTGCGCCTTTTTGTCCTCTCCCAGCCCCAGCAGGGATTTGCATGCGTTGTCTTTGATCTGGTCTAAATTGACAGCTGTCCCACAGAGCTGGGCACCCGTGACCAGGATGGCCGTATGAGGGATGTATGGAAAGGTTGGCAGGTTGGGGGAGTCTGGTCCTGCAGGGGAGGAGGTCCTAGCTCCCTCCCTTTGATCAGCAGTGGCATCAGGGCTCTGGTGGCTGTTGACTGGTGAGACAGGTGTGAGATTAACCTTCTGGAAGAGAATCTGTTTCTCTCCAGAAGAAACTTTAAAAGAAAAGGGCCTCTGTCTCTCCTCCATCTCCTTCCAGCGCAGCTCCTCGGCTCTCCTCTTCCTCTCTGGAGTATCCAAGTCCCTGTCAGCTTCATCTAATGACATCCTGCTCTGCTCCTCAGCTCTCCTCAGCATCTCTGCCTCCTCGTGCTTCTTCCTGTCTTCCTCCTCTTTTTGCTTCTTCATCTTCTCTGCCTTAAGTTCTTGCAGCCTCCTTGCTACCTCCTCCTCCTGTTCTCGCCTCTTCTTTTCTTCTTCTTCATTTCTCTTCTGCTCTTCCAGTTTCCTCCTCTCCTCTTCCAGTCGTTGCACCTCCTCTTCTCGCTTTCTCTTTTCCTCTTCCACTTTCCTCTTTTGCTCTTCCTCCTCTCGCCGCCTCCTTTCTTCTTCTCGGATTCGACTTTCCTGCTCCTCCCTCCTCCTCCTATCTTCCTCCTCTCTCCTCCTCTCCTCCTCCATCCTCCTCCTTTTTACCTCCTCTTGCATCCTCCTCTCCTGCTCTTCCAGCTGTTTCCTGCGACGCATTTCTTCCTCCATTTCATGCAGCCTCAGCTCCTCTGCTCTCTTCATCTTTTCTTCTTCCTCCTCTCTGAGCCTCTTCGCCTCTAGCTCCTTCCTCCTGCGAGCCTCCTGCCGCTCCTCCTCGTAGAGTCTTTGTTTCTTCAAGTTTTCTCTGTCATCTTCAATGACCTCCCTGCGCTGGTTGTCTCCTGCTGCCTCCAGGTCTTCTTGGACCACTTCAGGAACAGAAACCTCCTGGAGGTCCTGGGAATGCAGAAGATGAAAGAATCTGAGGTCTGAACCACTGATCTATATTACTGGATTGGACATCACGTGACTTATCGTGCGCCGTCACAGGAGCCATTGCTMTGCATTGAGTCATGTCAACAAAACAGTAGAGTTTCAATGCGGGATACGCGTCAATCTATCACAAACATATTCATAGCACCCTCATTTCTTATTTGATTTCTATAAAATATGGCTTAAATTAAGCTGAGAAAATTGCCGATGTTGTGTTATGTAAAAAAATATGTATTTGTTCAAGAGATCAATCTGTAAGTAGTGGGAACTTTTCATTACAGGTTTTTGCTAACACAGTAGAAGCCCCTTTCCGTCACATGAAGACAAATTTGCTGTTCCAACAAATTACTATATTTTTTATTAATATTGTAATTATGTTAGGATAACATTGTGAGAGGTAAATATAATGGACAACAGTAAAATTACCTTTACTATACTWGGCTGAACCTTGTAGATTTTACTGGTACTGATGTTGTGTCCCGTCAGCATATGGTATATCCTGTAGTTTGTGATTATTTATCAGAGTAAAAAACTACGTAATTTTTCTTCCTCCACCGTACATTTCATAAGCTAAGTGGTGGAGAGGCCGACCGCATTTATTTTATGACCAGCTGGAGGAATTTCTCTTTACTTCAGCATGAATGAAGAACCAGGAAACAAATGCAAAATTAGAATTATATATATA